TAAGTGTGTACCTTGTGTAATCTGTTTTGAGATTGCCATGAAAACAGCCGTGATGCTGGCGTGGCGTTAAAAAGTGAATGCATAAATAAATCAGCTGGTCTACAACTGTTGAGCAAAATGTGCTCGGCTAGTTGTGTGCTGGTTCCTTTAATGACTTGACTTGGAAGTTTCTTTTATTTTTGAGCACCACCTCCTGGGTTTGTGTTCGTTGAATATCTGACATAACTCTGGTGTCAAGACTGCAGCTTCATTCAAAGCATACAGCGGTTTATTTGCATGAAGTGTAATGTTCTCTCTCTCAGTCGGAGGCTATGAGCAGCAGCGAGTGCTTCGGTTGCGGCCGCACGGGCCACTGGATCAAGAACTGCCCAAACGCAGGCCGCGGCCGTGGAAAGGGTCGTGGCCGAGGGAAAGGTACGAGCCGCTCGCTGCGCTGTTAAAGCAGGCGTCTGCTGAGCGGATCGGCTGAATAATGTGTGTCTCTGCTCACGCTAGATCTGTTCTGCTATCGCTGTGGAGAGCCAGGCCACGTGGCGAGGGACTGTGAGAGGACCGAGGATGGTGAGGACGTGAAATCTGTAAAAACATTTGTGTTACGTGCTGTGATTGTAAACATTTCTCACATCAGAGAGTCTGTCCATCACTCAGGACACGGAGAAAACACTGTTCAGTCAGCTAGTCAACTTCACCATTACAGTTCACACACTGAGTTAAACAAACACTGGCTGGCTCATTTTAAATGGTTCAACTGTGTGGAAAAAATAAAAATTACTGTCTAAACTCTTTTTAGTCAGCAATTCATAGTAAATTTCAGGAATTACAAAGATATGGCAAGTAATGCATTAAATTAAACATTCAGTAGAAATACTGAAATAGCGTTTACTCGTGAGATGTGCTCCAGTGTTCAGTTTTATTTACAACTCTAGGTTTTTAAAGTTTGAATGCTGACAAAAGAGTAAAATTGCATTTTAAATATGTAAGGTAGAGTATTCACATCCAGTTAGCATTGGGTTAGTTGATGTGGTGCACTCCTAAAAAAACATTATTATGCTGTAAAAAAAAAGATTTTTCAAAGTAAATAAAGTAGATTAGTGTGGTGTTTTCCAAGAAAATACAATTTTAGACTTTTTTTTTACTTCAAAATTTCATGTTTAATTCAATGTGCTACTTGCTGATTGTAATTTGTGTGATTTATAAACAATTTCTTTCAAGTAGTTTATACACTATTTTCCCACATAAAAAAAAAGTTCACACTGTTGAAAAACTTCAGAATTTCCCTTTTAATTCAATATTACTAGCCGTTTCTCTTGAACTCTAATAGAAATGTCTGACGCAAAATTTCCCACAACAATCTTTTCCCCCCATGTGCATGTAAAAGATAAAGAGGATAAAAAATTACTTCACTATATTACAAATAAATCCTAGTCTAATCATGACAAACTGTATGTCATTATATAAGACTCCTATATATTTTACCAAATCTACATCATAACAGGAGTTCTGACCTGTCACAAAAAGTCTTTCTTCGTTCCTTTAATCACGCTTTAGAAATCATCATAAATTATATATCAATTGAAAGCTTAAAATCTAAAAATTCATCTTTTGAAAACCTTTTTAAAATCAGACATTGCATTATGATGGAAATGGTACATCAAAATCATATTACGAAATGTTTCCGTTCATGAATTATACCAATTTAAGTTTGGATGGTGCACTTTCACATCTGTGTTCAATGGGGCGACAGCTAAAGTGTTTTAGGAAAGGGATAAGGGTGACCAGCCACCGCAGTCAGCTAGTCAACTTCACCATTACACTATTTGGTTAAGGTTAAATTGTTCAACAGTGTGAAAAATAACTTCAAAATAGGTGCATGAACTGTTTTTAGTCCGCAGTTCATTGAGTTAAACATGCAATTTTGAAGTAGAAATACTGAAATAGTATTTTCTTGTGGAATGTGCTCCAATATTCAGCTTTATTTATGTTGATAAAAGAGTAAAATTCAGTTTTACTCCATGCGCCTTGGTAAAGTATACACATCTATTTAGCATTCGGTTAGTGGATGTGGAGCATTTTTAAAAATCATCATTATGAAGTAAAAAAGATCTTTCAAAGTAAATAAAATAGATTATTGTGGTGTTTTACTAGAAAACAAAAGAGAGAAGGGTGAACACTCCTGCTTTGTCAGCAAGTGTTGTAGGGATGGGCGATGTCTGATCGTTTGTGATATACCGGTAATAACTCTCCACGATAAGAACTAGTCTTCCCGCGATAATAACGATAAAGTCTAGTTGTTGACATTTCTGTGTGTGACTGTGCGGAGCGACATGGTGGAAGGCAGACGTGAAATTGATAGGAGTTTATCGCTAAACGAAGAGCTCCTTCTACTGGAGCTGGTTTGGTCAGGATTGAACAGTGCACAAAACAATCCGTCTGAATAAATGTAAAAGCCAAAACCTAGATATTTTAGGCAATATAGAAATCCTGGCCAGGATGCGTCCTGGGAAAATGGCACGTATGGTCACCCTATACTACAGTAGCATGCGTACGAGACCGTTTACAAACCTGTTATCCAGCAAAGATATCATTTATTGACATGCTTTTTCTCCAAATTAACTTAATAACATAGTCGAGTGTTTGAAATACTTCTTTTTGTGGCCAGACGTGGTTTCATATCACAGAATGATAGTATTATATACAGCGATAAAGGCTATGACGATCAGCATTGCATTATAAATATACTTTCCTTATTAAAAAAAATACCCAAGATTGCTTGAAGAGCACAGATAAACCATATATTGTCGCAATCGTGTGTTTATTGTCTTCAAGCTTCATCAGTTAAAATCTCCGTTGTGCGTTTTATTCAGCGATAACTGGATGCCTTTGTGCATATTGGGGATTTCCTGGAGCGTGGTCAGTGCTATTACTTCTGTGATGCATGTGTGGAGTTTCTGCGCGAGAGCGCCCTCCGGCTTCCAGTATATGAATTAAACCGTCATTACGGTACACGTGTGTGCTCAGTAATGCTCACAACACCCTATTTTGGGTAAAAACAGGAAAGATAATACTTCTCTCTAAAGAAACAGGATTCCTTGAATTATCATCATTGATATCGTTATGGTGATAAATACCAGAAATGTATTCGTGCTATATGTTTAAGCCGACATCGCTCATCCCTAGTGTGTGTGTGTGTGTGTGTGTGTGTGTGTGTGTGTGTGTTTTGCAGCGTGCTACAACTGTGGCAGGGGCGGCCACATCTCCAGAGACTGCAAGGAGCCCAAGAAGGAGCGCGAGCAGGTCTGCTATAACTGCGGCAAGGCCGGACACATGGCCCGCGACTGCGACCACGCTAACGAGCAGAAGTGCTACTCCTGCGGCGGCTTCGGACACATCCAGAAGGGCTGCGAGAAGGTCAAGTGCTACAGGTGAGCCGCGGTCCCCAGCGCCTCGGGTGCCAGAGAGCCGCGCTGACCTGTGCTTCTGCTCCTCTCAGGTGCGGGGAGATCGGACACGTCGCCGTTCAGTGCAGCAAGGCCAGCGAAGTCAACTGCTACAACTGCGGGAAGTCCGGCCACGTGGCCAAAGACTGCAGCATCGAGGCCACCGCTTAGCCCCGGGCCCTCCATCGCCCCTCCTTTCTCTGATTGATGGCTGTATTGTTTTCTCTGAGTCCTCTTCACTGGCCATCGGTTGGCTGATAGAGGCTATTCCCAGGCCAGTGAGCTCTTGACATGTAGAAGGTGGAAAGGGGTAGAAGAAAACTTCCCACTTTCTGCATTTAATACAAAAATTTTTATGTTTAGTTTGGTAGAGGTGTTATGTATAATGCTTTGTTAAAGAACCCCCTTTCCGTGCCACTGGTGAACAGAGATGTGTTGAGTGGAAGAGCGTGTGTCGGAGAGGCCTCTGGAGGCTCGGAGAGAAACACACATGCTAAAAACCAACCATACAGAGATCAGGGAAGCGCTCGCTTCTTGCATTGTTTGTTTTATCGCTGAGACTGAGGTAGTCTACGAGTGATTGAGCTGGAAAAGCAGCACAGGACACATACGGTTGGGTCTATCCGGGCCAAACCAGCAGTGCGCAGCTATGTGGAGAAAACAACAACAACATAAATGAATACGTCACGTGTAATATAGCGCAAACAACTCTATAGCATATTCTGGAAGCCTTGTGTAAGAACAGTACCAGAAAATGAAATCCTTTAAAACATGGGCTGTTTGGTCAGCCGTGACGTGGCAAACCTAGTTCATGATCCCAGGAGATAACCGATGGATGGAGTGTAGGTCGCTCCACCCAAGCTGAAAACTTCAATAAAAAAGGTAATAAAACAGATTTGGAGTTAGAAGAAAGGTGAACGTTTTCACAGAAATCAAAATGTTATTTTTATACAATATCACTTAGACTACTCTAAAAATAATAATGATGATGATAATAAAAAACTTTCATTTGCTTGTACTCAGTTTTTAAGTCGGAAGGTGAATGCAACTGAAGTTGTAGGACATAGAAATGTAATTTTAAACTCAATAAATCTGGAGGAGGAAGGGGTGTGAAGACTGGCCTGTCTTTTCTGAGTGCTCTCATGTTTCCGTTTCGTTCCAGGAATACACTCGGTGTTTTGGATTGTAGATTGTAGTTTTGATTTTTCAGAGAAGTGTCTGCACATTTGGCCACACAGTGTGTTTTTGTGCGTGCTGAGGCTTGCAAACCGTGGCAGATCTCATAGTATGGTTTTATTTTTTAGTGGAAAAATATTTACTAATTACTTTTTTTAAACCGAGTTTATATTACACATTGGGATTTTTTTTAACAAAATATTTTGTCTAATTTTAAAGTAGTAATAAAAAGGTTATTATTATATCATTATTATAGTTTTTTGATGGTTGGCGTGTTTTTCTGTTGACACCGACACACATACAGTTCAGTTTGCCTCAAGAAGATCACTGTAAAGTCCTGTTTGAAAGAAACAGACAATTACTCTTTCAAAGTAGTACCAGTTACAAGTTAGTACATAAACCCACCTGCCTTCTCAGGCGTTTGATCTGTCATCGCTTGGCGCCGGAAGTGGTCCAGTGTAGCGACACGTCATCTTCATGCGTCGTGCGCACTGACGCGGGATCGAACATCTGAGCTACAAACATGGTCAAATAAATATTCTTCCCTAGCTAATGCATTTCAAATGATCGCACTTGTGTTATTATAGGTTTATAAAAGTAGCTGAATGGCTTTTTGTCTGAAATGAATACATATTCTGTCATCAGAAGCGTTTTTTGTCCGTTGACGCAGAAGTTTTGTCAGATGTAATAAACAGAGTTACAGAGATCAGATGCTTCTATTGTTATTGAGTACAGTATGCTGGGGTTAGCTTCAAATAAATGTCCAGCACGTGTTATCTGTCGAAGAGATACACTGGTATATGATTACGTGTTCTACAGAAAACATGAGCGCTTAAACACAGCCCGCTGAAGCGCACTGTTGCTGTTGTCATGTGTTGGCCCGAAACGCAGAGAAGGCCATGTAAGTGTCGTCTTTGGTATTTCTGTCCGATTATGAAGCTTTCTCTCGTGTCTCGAGCAGAGTCCTCTGTTAATGCTGTTGTTGCTCTGCAGGACAGCCGTGGCCAGGTTTCGTCAAGCCCAGCTGCAAGAGGAAAGCTTCAGGTTTTTATCTGAACGCGTCTGCATTATCTCTAGTGTTCACCGGATCATACGGCCTTCACAGGAGACGAGACCTTTTCTAGCTTCGGAGTGTAATGAGCTACCCAAAGCAGAGAAGTGGAGAAGACAGGTCAGACATCACGTCCAGATCTCTCCATGTTCTGCTGATATATGTGGGTTATTGGCCCACGAATACTCGGGTTAACTACTATTGTCTTGCAGTTCTAGATCGTCAGTGAGGTTTCAAAGAAAGTCGCCCCGATTCAAAACGGTGAGACTGTGAGAGAAAGACCAAAGGATGAAGAATCGAATGTGCCTGACTAACTCTTGCCTGTCTTCCTCAGCTGGTCTGGGTGAGTTTAAGACTCGGGATTTAAACGATGAAATCAACAAGCTGCTCCCAGAGAAAGGACACTGGGAGGACCGGACTATAGGGTAATCATCTCAAGTCAAACTAATGACCGATGGATGCTGTGTTACATCAAAGGAATTACTAATGTGTATTTCTAACTTCATCTGTCATCAGTTTTCATAGCTTCTACAGTCAGCTCTGAAGATCTGAGACCACCAGTGAAAATAGTTCGCTTGTGCATTTTTCCAGTTTAATCAAAAATTAGATTAGCGTAATAAACAGATCCAGCGAGACGTGTTTGAACACACCGCAGAGAGTAATTTGAGTTCTGCACAGAAATCTCTGTTAGAAACGGGTCAGAACACCAGAAGTATTAACGCTCACTGTAACCGTGGTGTTGAGGCAGAAATAGTCGGATGTTATTACATTATTCAGTTCAGGGTTTGTACAACCTTTTGAGAGAGAAATTCAAGCACTTTTCAGTGACTTTCAAGCATTCACACAACTGTTTACAGCACGTTAAAGCTCTAAAATGATCTCGTTTCAATGTTATTTTTAATGGGATGACCAAAATATGCTTTGTGGTAAACAAACACTTATGTAAAATTAAACAATACAGTGGTGTGAAAAAGTTTTTGCCCCCTTCCTGTTTTTTTAATTGTTTGCATATTTGTCACACTTAAAAGATTCAGATCATCAAACAAATTTGAATATTACACAAAGATAACCTGAGTAAATACAAACTGCAGTTTTTAAATGATTATTTATTTTATTAAGGAAAAAAGCTGTCCAAACCTGCCTGGCCCTGCGTGAAAAAGTAATTGCCCTAAATCTAATAACTGGTTGTGCCACCCAAAACCTTAATTTTGTTTTTCTTGAGCCATTCAGAGGTGGACTTGCTGGTGTGTTTTGGATCATTGTCCTGCTGCATAACCCAGGTGCACTTGAGCTTGAGGTCACAAACTGACGGCTGGACATTCTCCTTCAGGATTTTCTGATAGAGAGCAGAATTCATGG